AACCGAAGTGTCAAAAAAGTCCTGTGCTGAGCTAAGCTGACAAAAATAAGCAGATAGGCAAAATCAAAACCAGTCGATAATTTTCAGTTTGCTTAAAAAACGGTCCTCGACTGGAATGGAACTCCTGGGCTTTGTCATCTCAAAAATGGGTGATAATTAGCTTCGAAGAAAGCTGAACCTTCTTAAAAACTCAGGCTATGGGAGCCAAGCCGTTAAAAATAAACAGACAGACGAATCTGAAAAAACACTAAAAATAGGTTCAGGCCGGATTTGAACAACAAGCATTTGCCATCTCAAGCAGTTGTTTCATCTTAACGCCATATACTACCAGAAAAATAATTGAATGTATTATCAGCAAGTGGTGACGAAGCCGAAACTTCCAGAGCAGACACGCTTCAATTCGAAAACAGTATAAAAACTTCAAAAATAATTTAAAACTTCAAGTCTCCCTTCCTCAGAAAACACAACGGTCAAAAGATTTTTTTTCGGTTCTCAACCGACGCGTTAAAGAGCCACTAAGTCGATTTAAACTAGTTCAAAATCTATAAAGCCGAAAAAAGGAAATTAGAAAAATAAAAGTACGAGAATAAAAACATAACAAATCGAGTCGGTAAAAACACAACCAAACTAAAAAGCGAATTTCGATTCGGCCAGATATTTAAAAGGCTAACATGCTCAAAATATGCCTCCAGGAGATGAGCCCTGTGAACACAGTTACTCACGAGGGAAAATTCTAGTACCCGATTGCAATACCCTTGCTTATCGCAAGGGTAATTAGACACGAAAAATCTCTAGTATTATACTGTAGACACCAAAAACCTTGGCTTGGGGTGAAACGAAAAGCTAGCCCTACGACCCGCTAGTTTATATGTTCTAAAAAACTATCTCCTCAAACCGGCAATTACTTAACAAATCCCTTAGAGTTAGAAAACTGAAGAGTTTCTGGGAGGTGTCAAGCAGGTTTCTGGGAGGTTCAAAAAACTTTCGAGAAAATGTTGACGAACTTTTATTTAAACTGACCTTTTCTTCAGGTCGACCAAATTGATTTTCCGAGCATTATGACCAAATGGTCTGAGCCAGTTTTGATAGTTGTGACCAAAACAAATCCTGTTTTTTGTCACGCCCAACAAAATTAGTATTTATTGCGCTAGAGGCAAATTTTAGGTTTGGTTGGGCCAAACGGGTTATAAAACCACAGTGGTCTTTTAGGTTGGTGAGTGAGTAGATATGGTAAAAAATTCAAACGCAATCACGACTGAGTTATCCATACTTCCGCCGTAAGTTAATTTGAAAATTGGAAGCAAATTCGGGTCGATTTTTCCGACACTGAAAATAGATTTTGTTTTCCCACCCTACAAACAACTAAAACGTACGAAAACATTTAAAATTATCAAAAAATGATGCTTAAAAACGATCCCTAGGCCTAAAAAAAAATTTTCAATAAAACGTAAGCCGTAGTTCGTCAAATTTTTAATTCATAGACGCAAATAAGCCATCCAATTTTTCCCAACTACAAAATTTTATGGATAACAGAAAAACACTTTCCTGGATAAATTTCTGTTTTTGAAAACTAAACAAAATGAAACCATAGCCAACATACAGTTGGAAAAGAGTCCAATGAACAAAGGTAAACAGAAAAAACACAAAGATTTTTTTTGGAAAAAAACTATCGAATTTGAACGAAAAAAAAAAACAGATGGCCTATCGTTGAAACAAATCCTTTGCATTTTGAGAACAGTTTATGATTGGCACTATTTTTAGCTAAAACTTACTGGATTTTTGAAAAAAATGGAGTGAAAGGTAATTTGAAGTGATAGGTAATTTGAAGACTTTTCCTAAACACTTAATAATTTGCATAACTTTTTTTGACAATAACTGAAAAAAAATACTTAATCAAGTGTTGCCGGTTGCTGGGCAAGTTGCACAGAATGTTCCGACCACAATAATTTAAATAAAGAAAAACCAAAGACGAAAAAAAAATTATTATTTTTTTAAATTTCTGGTTGATTCTTTTAGTAAAGGACGGTATAATTACGTTAAAAAAACATAGAGATAGAGAAAATGAGGGGATTATAGCTCAATAACGTTTAAAAAAATGGAATGCCTTTAAATAAAATGTCAATGCAGAGTAAATTAATAAAGTGTCAATATAATTTCGGTATCATCCAATTTCGTAATCAAAATCGAAGGAACTCAGGCCAATCTTTCTCGAGACTTCAAATCAGTTTTTTGAAATCCAAATTACAGCTGAATGGTCTTTATATGATACCACAACTGTATGCTGCAAGCTTTCTTAGAGAAAGTCAAAATCGGCAGGACAAACTCATAGTACGACCTAGTTTTTCCATTAACATCGTTAAGTGATCAGAACAATAAGCATAGATCAGAACAATAAACATAGCCAGTAAAAGGCTGGAAAAGAATAAAAGAACAAGAAAATCGAAAAAATAATAATTCAAAATGACGAACAAAGAAATGTATCAGGTTAGAGCTCTTTAATCTCAAGACCAATTTAGGATTTTGATGAAATTAACCTAAATAGCGAAACTTGATAAATGGACAAATTTTGTATTCCGCTGGGAAATCTACGAAACTTAAGTCCATTTTCGAAACAAGAAGTCGTTCATGTTTTCATGCGCCATTTCTGTTTTCACAAAGAAGAGCGCAATTTACCTAGCTAATAGCAGTAGAATTGGAATTGAACTCAAAAAGTGCAGACACACCCAAGTGAATCATAAATGCTTTAATAAGTATGAGTGCACCTTTAATAAGTTTGTTTGAAAAACAAAAAATTATCATGACATAGAAATGAAATCACTTCGTTTTATAAACTTAAAAGGTATCTATCTTTAATCATTAACATTTCCTAAATTTCGATTAATATTTTGAAATTCAATCAGCATCTGATTGCAGGTACAAATAGAATTTGACAACAATGTTTAATCTGAGATTGCAATGACTTTCGTTTTCATGGTATCATACAGTTTCTACTTGATTTCTACGACAGCAATGCTCAGCACCATAAACGAGTGAAATTATAATATATTTTAACAGTCTTTCGCTTACAAAATGAAAACCATAGGCAACAGACCGTTGAAAAGAGTCAATGAACGCAACTAAACAGAAAAACAAAACCGACGAAAATCCAAGAAAAAAACAGATAGCATTAAAACTTTTAAAATTTCTAGAAATTATGATTAACACTTTTGTGATAAAATGAACCCAATTTGGATAAAATTTGATCACTGGGTAAAATTTTTATTTCGCAGGGAAATCTGAAAAAAAAACTTGAAATCTGAAACTAGAATTCGATAATGTGACCTTTACAATTTTGCTGTCCGAAAATGGAGTTTGCCTTCTTTTTAACATAAACTGAACTTTAAAAGAAATCAAAAGTCAAACCACAAAAAAAAACTAATTCGAGCCTGAACAAACTTTTAGACTTTTTCTGAAAACAAACAAAAAATCATAACGACCTTTATCAGAGTCTGAACTAGGTTCATCGACTCTTAAATATAGTATTTTAAAGCTGTCTAACTCGAGTACACAATCATGCTTGATTAATAAGTCTTTTGAAATATCAAGGAAGCGCGACTATTTGCAGTATTATCACTTTCGTCACAGAATCTTACTGCTGCACTGTGAAACGCTGTTTTTTGGCTCTAATTTTAAAAATTCTCTATTTTTCTTAAACGTCAATTTTTTCTTAAACTAGCTCGTAACGCATCTCCGGTGTTTCGAATTTTTGGCTCTTTTCCAGTTCCCCCCTTTCAAATTCAAATTTGAAAAGCTTATTTAACGTTGTCATAATGCAATGAAAATTGGCATGGTGAACAAATCGACAACTGTGAACAGATTTGTTCTTCATACTTTACAGCGTAACATCACGCATTTAGCCGTAATAACACGTAAAACAAACATAAAACTCGGTATTTTGAAAGGGGGGGACTGGAAAAGAGCCGAATTTTTAGCAACTCATAAAAAACTGCATATATTGGAAATAAGAACTGCATCCTTTGAGTGTACTCTGACAGCACCCAATTACAGCGTTGGTATTTTCAAATTTCGTAAAAATTTTCTATTCAAGTTTTTAAATTCAAGTTTTGAAAAACCATAAACTGTGAAATGTTTCATATCTCAGTTTTTTTGAAATTTTAAAATGACCTAAAAAACGTCACATCTCGGAAACTTAAAGCAATTGAGCAGTCGCATTTGAACGCAAGATTTGCAACTCTTGAGAGTAACCTCACAGTAACCAACTACAATGTTGGGATTTCAAATTTTGAGAAACTTCAATTTAAATTTTCTAAAAAAAAATTTTAATGAAAAAACCATTTAAAACGACGCCTTAAGAAAAATTTGAGCAACCATATTTGGAGGCAAGTTTCGCAAGACCTGAGTTCCCTGACGGCCCCCAACTACAGGCTTAGAAATTTCAAATTTAAAAAACTTAAAATTAAGTTTTCTGTACATTTTTGAAAAAAAATTCACAGAAAACCTCATATCTGGAAGAGTAAAAAGATTCGAGCAGTCATATTCCGAGGCATAACTTGCAACTACAAGGAGTACTCTGAGAGAGCCTCACTATAGAGATGTGAACTTCATATTTCTATAAGTTTTTTGAACAAATTAATAAACTAAAAGCATTTGAGCAGTCGCATTTGGACGCAAGATTTGCAACTTGGAACTCGTAAGACCACCCTTGCAGTACTTAACCACAGGGTTAGGAATTTCAAACTTTGAAAAAAAATTTCAAATGTAAGTTTTCTGTGAAATTTTTGAAGAAATCACAAAAAAAAACGTCATATCTCGAAAACTACAGGAGTTTGAGGAGTCATATTTGGAGAAAAAATTATATTTGAATGACAAAATAATTGAAGGTCTTCCGGAAAAACTAGATAAGTTACATTTATGCAGTTGTTCTAGAATTCCTGCTGGATAGACTGGCGAGTTTTTATAGAAACTAATGGAAAAAGCTGTAAAATGTTTCAGAAACACGATAAGATTTAAATATTAAATTCAAATAAAGAATAATTCGCATTAAGAAGATCAGGGAATATAGAATTCATTTCTAATATGGGCGACGCAAGAACAATGAAATGAAAAAACTGCACATCAAGGTTACCTTGAAAACGCCAGTTTTTCCAACTGTATGAAAGGTGCTTCTATGAAACAACTCACGACAATGGCCAAGCAATAAACACATACCACTATTCCCGTGAACTGCAGTGCAATGTAAACAGTGCTGAATCGCACCGAAGTCTCCGCGCTGTTCAGCCATATCCAGATTATGACGACGTGAATTATGTACGCCGTGTAACCAATGCGCGCAAACGGAACCCAGAAATTCGCCGACAGTGCACGATTTAACACGCCGCCATACCCCCATGCGCAAAGTGTAATCATGATTCCGAGCGCTGTGGACCACAGGATCCTGAAAGTCGCATTGTACATAGCTGCAGCTCCATTGCCCATTAAATGACCATTCATGGACGGGTACACACCATACACAGCGACTCCGGCGGCTATGATAGCGTAGAACCATAAACCTGATATTGTCGCAAGGCGAGTTTTAAGCCGAAGTGAGTTGAGTTTCTGGCGAATTATGTCTTGTTCGCTGAAGACAAGGCCAAGCAGAAGCCCGATGCCATAGACTTGAAAATGAAAAAAAGGCCATTCATAGATACGATCGGTCCACACCTGGCTGCTTTCAATCGTGGCTGGATTCGCGAGAGGGTTTCCCTAAAACCACGAATAAAAAAATTTAATTTCAAAACTGCGAAAAATAATAGAACAGTGATGTAACCAGTAGCGGATTTAGGGTGCAAAGGCGTGGGAGGGACGCACCCCTCCTCTCAGGAATTCGACCCCCTGCCGACGCAAAGGGTCCCCCCTTTGGTCTATTTTGAGATCTCCATTTTTGGCGCCAATACATACTAACTTTGAGGGGAAGCGCGCGCCTAAAACCGCAATTTTTCGGTCAAAATTTTCCAGAAAGGGCCCAAACACGCCTTTTTGGCCTGTTTTTTTTTAAAAAAAAACATAATAGTGTATGCCAAAAAATGAAATGAACCACTTATGAAGCAATCAAATATTTAATATCAGCTTCAAGTTATCTACTAGTTTCTTTTAGGTTTGATACGACCCAGTCCGAGTAATCAATTTACATTGAAAAAAAAACAATTAACACTATTTCAAATGAATACTATCATAGCATGCGGGGGGTAAGCTTAAAAGCCGTCAAGACAAATTTTACACAGAGGTGAAACCGATCTTCGTAAAAATTGAAATACAACTAACTAGCATGGCAGCTAGTCGAAAGAAAATGAGGCGAAAGCCATCAAGTCAAAAACAAACGAAATCATTAATCAATCAATCATTCAAAAACTTTCCGAGTGGCACCTCAACCAACAATAGGAAAATGACGAAAAACAATCGAAAGCGTCAAATAAGCATTAAAAAACTTTCCGAGCGGCAACTAAGCCAACAATAATTGGGTAGACGCCTGTTAAGCCGAAACCAAAATTCTTGTCTAACTGGTTGAGCAATAAAGTTTCGCTCGAGAAGTTTTTACACCACTCCTGAAACAAAAGCATATATATTTGTTTTCCTTCAACGCCTCAATATGAGGCGACTACGCCGATATAACATGAGCCGAAGCCATTCAGCCGAACAAACCTTTTAGGCAAAACGGGAAAAGCAGTTATATTATCGCAAGCGTAACACAGAGGCGAAGCTGAAGCTTCGCAAACACCAGCAAGAAAGCGCAGAGATTCAGGATCTTTAAACACACAAACAAGTATTTGTAAGGTAATAAACTAAAAGCAACCACTTTAACTTTGCATTCAAAAACATAGAATGCATTTCAAAAACATACAAACATATTAAACCAAATTGCATATTAATTATGCATTTCAAAACTCGCGAATTAAATCAATTGGGAAGATTGCTAAAATGTGATTTAAATAATTATACCATTGAATGAAACAAATAGCTATTTTAGCTCAAATCACAAATTAAAAAAGCGTCAACTGTGTTAGCTTATTGGTAATCAAATGTCAAAGCACTTGGCATTATACTGCTAATACAGCCTAACGATTCAAAAGTACCACCATAAATAGCAATTTGATTTGCGACTTAGGTTAGAAAAAACTTGCATCGTTTTATCACACTACGCTACGCTCGTGTAATAACAACTGTAAATTGTTCTGACTATTTTCGAAGAAAATGAAGAATAATTTTTCATTTTTTTTTTCAATTTCAACCATTTTTACCGAAAATTATTCCATAGACCTTAAAATGCAGTTAAAACATCAGAGCAGTCACATGATACGAGCAGTCTGGTTGAATTTGTATTTTCATTATACTGAGGATGTCAGCATAACTGGCATCTTGTTATTAAAATTGAATGTTCATTAAATTGGATATGAAAGGACGTAACAAACATCTCACTTGCTGAAACCAGTGAGCAACGTTTTTACACAGGGGCGAAGCTGCGATTCGCGAACACCAGCGAGAATACGACAAAAAAGCAACTTAAAAAATGAAAAAAATAGTTATAAGCCTCGAACTAGTAAAACCATGTACTGTCATCGAACGTGCGAGCTGAACATTTGAAGTCTCACGCCCTACCCTCTTGGCCACGAACGCTTTACGATCGGCAAACGCTAGTCACAAACAAAGCAGCTATATATGATAACAAAATGCCATGCAGCAAAAGTGGCAACAAATAGACATCATTTTGCAAGTAATAGTTTGGAATATAACAAACTGAAGGCATCCAAACTAACTTTGCATCTAATAAATTTGAAAGCATATAGCCACTTTATGAACACTTTGCAAAAATTTGGGCAACATAGGATCTTTATAGGAATGTGGGAGAGCTCAGAAAATTAATATAGGCGGCCCAAAAAATTTCGAAAAATTTATATATAAAAAGGTTTATATCCGGCAATCAATTAAAATTCAGTTGGAATAAACTCACAATTGGTCCAATGTGATGATGAGCGCTGACTCCAAGAGTGGTGAAGGTGCTTATAAGTATACAGCCTGAAATGAGCAGTGCTCCCATCTTCTTGTTGAACTTCGACAGGATGATGAAGATGGGACTGATACAGTAGAACTGCATGTCATCTGCCAGGTACCAAGTCCAAGCTGAAACATACGGTACAAGTGTGATAGAGTGGTCCCAATCCCAAATCACACTAATTCTAATTAAAACAGACAGAAAATCGATATACGCCACTCGTTCCTTTTTCAAGACCTTGTCAAGCCTAATAAACCTGTCTCATTTGCACTTGCATATTCGATAATTTAATTGACATCGTCGAAACAATGAAAAATGTTGAGGTACTCTTTTTGATTGGGGCCCCTTTTAGTTTTTCGGGACCCCTCTATCACACTTGTGCCAAATAAACTTCATCCAACCATCCTAAACGTCCAACCATCCAGAATAAAAATAGCCAATGTTTTTATCAACCTTTAGAAGATAATTGCCAATCATAGACCAGTTAATCGATGATTACACCATTTATCAATCCCAACTGTTCTAAGTGCGACAAGAAAACTAACAAACAGAGGCGCAGCTTCGCTTCGCAAACACTAGTGAGAACACGACAAAAAGCAACTCTATAAAGGCAATAGAAAAATTAGAAGTAAGCCTCGAATTAGTAAAAATTCTGCTACGTCTCGCATTCCAACCTGTAACATAGAGATTGTGAACACTTTTATTTGCGAGTAAGGTTAGAAAAAAGAAGGTTCGTAATAAAACACTACACTACTTAACTACTCAATACTATTTATTCTCAGTTTAACTTGATCGTTTGCCTTTCTGTTATTATAGAAGACTTGCAGCTTTATCGAGGTTATATCGAAGGTGTGACCGCTCAACAAAAAATTCGCCAAAAACTAGATCGCCATTCGCTCGCTACGCCATCGCTGAAGTTAACTGAAAAATGTATTTTTCAGAATAATGCCTCAGAATAAACAATTTTTTTTTTAAGTTTTCGGTACTGGGTCGGCTCTTTTGTGGGTTTCAAATGTTACCGGAAACCTTGTTTCAAATTTTCAGCAACAAATGTTTAAGTTTTCGCTATGCAAACTACACTTTATAACTACTAACTCATGCAAGGTTTTCGATTCGGATCATTATTGTTGTCAAAATTGTTCACGAACAGCGCCACAGTCACCCAATATGATCCTCTGCACTGATACGAAAGAGATCTGAAGCTCTCCGTCTCGAACAGTGGCGAGTAAAACAGCTGTGGCAACAACGGGTACAAGCCAACAAGGAACAGCAAAGCCAGCAATAACGCCGGCCACAGTCGGATGACTCTGTGCACGTAGTACATGATCCAAAACTTCGCCCCATTCTTTTGTTTCTCCAGAGCTTTCAGGGATCCCATCATGACCAACATTCCACTCATGAGGAAGAAAGAGTCCACAGACAAACTGGCATTAAACATACCCTGTATAAGAAAGTTGTCACTGATCGATACAACGTAGAATGGATTGTCCTGCACGCCACTTGTACCTTCGTGTAGCATAGTATGAGCCAAAACTACCCAGCCGAGCGTCATGGTTCGGATCCCGTTCAAGACTGAGAGATGGGAAACATCTTGTCTCGGCGGGGCTGAAACAATATTATTGGAGTGCGATATCTTGAAAACCGTTCGGTGAACGTTCTCAGGGAAAAATTAAGTTATTATTCTTTTTTTAAGATACCAAATGGAAATTAATTTCAAAAACAGAAATATGCCTTTTGAGTCACAAATATGTCTTTTCAAGGCAACATAGTGTAAAAACAAATTAAAACATTGCATAAAAATGTTGAATAGAAAAAATTTATACCTTTAAATCGGATGAGGCTCATAAACAGCCTTAACACGCATAGAAAATCAATGACCGAGAGGGGAATAAAGCAAAAAAATTTGACGACCCTCGTTAAGCCGAAAACGAAACTAGTCAAAAAATTTCCAGCTATAAAAAAAGTAAGCGTAAAAATTTTCGAGAAATTGGAATTTGCTCAAAAACGAACAATTTTCTGACAAATTTGAAGGCGTAGCCATTTGTGAACGGAGGCTTCCCACAATCTCATGCATTGATCGAATCCTTGATATCAGATTCGGCTGGGTTGTTTTCGACCAAAAAAAAAACAAAGTTTCAAAAAAGCCAAAAAATCAAACCATTGTTTTTTCTGATAGCCATAAGTTTTTATAAAAACCCGATGTAGCCGCTTTTACATGGGATATTCCTCAACTCTCTCTTTTGATTGAAACCAAAATCTGACATTTGGGAGTGTAATTTTCAAAAAAGTTTCAAAAAACGATCAAAAAATCAAAAATTTGAGTTTTCCGAGGGCCATAATTTTTTGAGTGAAAATTTGGGCGTAGCCGCTAATGCAGGGGAGCTTCACACAACCTGTTCTTTCGATTGAACGCAAATCTGAGAAAAGAGAGTAAGAAAAAAAATTAAAATTCAAAAAGTCACAACTTAGACACATTCCAAGGACTATAACAACCAGTTCTTCGTACACAAAATCTATTTTTGAAAAAAAAGTCAAATGGTCGAAAAAACACAATTATGAATTTTCCGGAAACAACTTTTCTAGTTGTGAAATTTGGGCGCAGCAGGTAATGAAGGGGAGCTTCTCGCAACGCGTTCTTTCCATTCTAATATCTCCGATTTGGGAGGGTTGTTTTCGATAAAGCCAAAAAGTATCAGAAAACGGTCAAAAGCAAAAATTTTGACTTTTCCGAGGGCCATTACTTTTAGTGGAAACTAATAAGTCATAACCGCTTATGCACTGGAGATTCCAAAAACCTGTTCTACATATTCAACTCAAAATCTCAGATTTGGTGGGGTAGTTTTCCAGAAAATGAAAAAATATTTAAAAAAATTAGTCAAAAATCCCCCCCAAACTTTTTCGAAGACTGTAGAAAGTGGGGCACGATATAAAGAGACTGGGCGTGTATGCAGACACACGGGGGAGTGGGCGGTCTTTCTATTAATAAAGTTTTTCTGAAAATCGAAAAAAAACTTGTTTTTGAGAACAACTAATATTTAAAAAAAAATCCAGTCTTAAAAAATAAAAAATTAAAAAAGTCACATGCATTTTCATAATATATGTTTTCATCAAACAGGAACCAACAGTTTGAATCAAAAATAAAATACTAAGCTTTGGAACGAAGCTGCGTAAAAAGCGTGCCAGATAACATAAATTGCATTTGGAAAAATTGACGAAAACCAAAAATATTATATTTACCTCATATGAACTAAGAAGAAGTCTATTTGAATTTTCAAGAAATTGAGCATGTCTGCGCAGCAGCAGAAACTGAACCAGAATTTGTAAGAAAAGTTGTTTAACGGGAAAAAGTATAGACCCCGATTACAAGTCACTTCCTCTCGCAAGTGAAATAACTTCAAATATTAGAAACTCATCAATCTGTACTCACTGATAAGCTTGCTGAAATTGGCTTGGAAGTCAAAGCATAGCAGTAATGACACAATTCGACTGCCTCTCGAGAAAAGACTTTTATCAATTGTTCCCGAATTAGCAGATTTCACCCGACTTGCCACTTCCACTTCATCGGGAATATCTTCGCAGAGTGGTATGAGATCTGACCTTGCTTCCGCATACCTTTCTGGTTAAAAAAATCATTCTTGTCATTCTTGTCATTCTTGGAAATAAACAGATTACAAATGAAGGTAAAATTTGGGAATAAAAAAAGGGATATAATACAAAATAACTTGGGTTGGGAAGGCTACAGGTTTGGTTTTTTTTAGCAGACCGACCTTTTAGCAGACTCAAAAACAATAGCAAATCAGAACGCTTGCTTCGAACGCGGCATTGGCCAGAAGTGACCGCTTTCTCCGCTGCGCGCACAATCGACGGGGGAGGAAATAAACAGTACCTGTTTATTTAATAGGTTCTCCTTAGACAATTATGATCAAACGAGCGTTTTACTACATCTTCCAGCCTGATATGGCATAAGTACACTAGCACAATTTCTCTCGTAGTATATAACACATGGTTTCGGTTACACTTAACTAGCGTGTAACGCACCGCCGGTGCTTCGAATTTATGACAACTCATAAAAAATCGCATGTATTGGGATCTTTTTTAGTATTTGCATCTTTTGAGTGTACTCTGACAGAACCCAATTACAGGGTTGGTAATTTCAAATTTTGCAGTTATTCAAGTTTTTTAATTCAAAAATTTGAAAAACCATACAACTTTGTTCGTTGAAAATTTTTTAAATAACAGAAAAAGTCAAATCTCGGAAACAAATCTAACCCCACCCCCACCCCACCCCCCCAACTTCAGGATAGAAATTCCAAATTTTGAAGAAAACTCAAACTTAGGTTTTCCGAAATTTGAAAAAAAAGGCCTACTTCGAAAACTACAAGGATTTGAGCAGTCATATTTGAAGTAAAAACTCACAAACCCTAGGAGTGCCCTGACAAAGTCTCATACTAGAGATAGGGAGTTCAAATTTTCGGAAAATTTTTCTAGGTTCTTTGAACATTAAAAAAAAGACATTACAAACGACATATCTCGGAAAATAAAAGCATTTGAGCAGTCCAATTTGGACGCAAAACGTGCAACAATAAACTACTGAGAGTACCTTCACAGTACCCAACTACAAGGTTGAGAAAAACCGGTCCCATTTGTACCAAAATTACTCAACTCGATTTCTGATTAGTCGAAAGGACACTGAAACTGAAAACTTATTATTGGAAAACTTCAGTTATTTTGAGTTTATCATTGCCGCATATCAGAACTTGCATTGTGATTTTGGTTAAAGTTTTTGGAGACACTTACTATTTATTTTAAAATTTTTGTGAAATTTTTCAAATTCAAGTTGAAAACCTAGAAAATCTCGTAAACTACAAGGATTTGGTAATTCATATATGGAGGCCGAAATTGCAACACCTGTGGAAGCCCTGACAGCATAACACTGTTGGGCGGCTAATTTCATACTTGATGAAAAAACACTGAACTCAAGCTAGAAAATGAGAAAAAAACTTAACCATTGAAATATACGATTTAGCCTAATTGTTGTGATAAACTTATTAAATAGATTTCTTTGTTCAAATTTACCGCTTGTGTGTTTTCATATCATATGCGCGCTGGGCTTTCCTCTTCTGGTTATCTTACCAAATCTCGCCGTCCCAGCCGTAGGCGAGTGAAGTTTCCCTGGCGTAACTAGACGCAAGGAGTTTTTGATTTATCGACCTCCAAATCGACGTCAGGTTGTACCACTCCTTTCTTTTTTTTTCTCTTTTTTTTTATCGCCTTTGCCTCAGCAATTTTAAACCTTAAGTGAAAGTATTCATAAATCACCCCAAAGAGCTTCCTTTCTCGCCCCAGTTGTCTGTGTTTCAGGTTGATGCCGCGATTCCAGGCAAGACGCATCCCTGAGTTCTCACAGAAACTAGTTATCAGGACTTCAACGACCAAATATATCAAACCAACTCTAGTAAAATCAACAATTCACTCCTACCGCGGCGCAACGCTTCATGATCTGTTTGAAACAGTTTTACAATACAGACCAAAGCGCCTAAATACAGTAACAATAGTTGCTGGATACAATGACAACAGGCTGCATCCACAAGAATTAGAACAGCAGTGGAAAAACTTGATTAACCTCGTCACTAACAAGTTTCAGCCCAAGACACTGATCATCCCCAAAACAATTCAGAACTAAAATAATTCCGAAGTAAACCGCAAAATTTATATTCATAATCATGTGCTGTTTAATTTGGTAAATAGATTTATACACCCCCATACACTTATTGTTTCGCCTAACCTCAACCTAAATCTAACCCCTCAAATGTTCTGCCGTGATGGCATCATCCATTTCTCGTTCTACGGTAATGAATTCTTTACAAATTTTCTTGCAAATTTGATCTATAAATTCTCTCGCTAACTTGACACCGGCGTCCTTCCTAAAATGGCTACTCAAACACACTGCCTTATTTGTAAAAGCAGCCTGCGAGGCGGAGGTGTTTGGTGCTTCACATGCCCAGGCTACATGCATGTAAAATGCAGCGGCCTAGCCCGCAGCAGTGATCACTATGACGATTTCAGTTGTCATCGCTGCAACTCCCAATTTCATTCAGCTAACGACAAGCATGAATGCAATCCCCCAACCCTAGCTACAACCACGCTCCCCCAAATGCACCCTCACCCTTCCACTGCCCCACACTCACAAAACTCAGGAGAGTCTTCCACTATAGAACCCAGAACAATACAAGACCCATAGTCAAACCCCTGTCCAGAACTCATAGAAACCACCAGGAAAATATACACCGAAGTGGTCCACTGGAAACCGGTCTTTATGATCTTATCAAAAAATAAAGTTGGTTATAACTTTATTGAAACCCTCAATAGAACTTTGAACAGCCTAATAGAAAAAACAAAAATACCTTCGCAATGCACGCAGCAATGATTTTTCCACACTTATTACTGTGCAAAACAAAGTCCGAAATTGATGGATCTTTATCCAAAACAATAGCAAGGCGACTTAAGCAATGGCAAGACGGAGACCTGGATGGACTATATAACGAAGGAAAGGCGCTGCAAATGCGCTTGTTGAAAAGAAGTAGAAGAAAAACTGAAACTGAAGCACAACAGTTCAACAAACTAATGAATACTGGAAAAATATCAAGCGCAATTGCAAAACTAACAGACACATCTAAAGGCGTTCTTTCGCTCGACGAGATTGTCAAAGGTAAGACAGTTGAACAGACTCTCATAGAGAAACACCCACCATCTGAACCAATTAATGAGAACTATATTACACCAGTCTCAAACGAAACAATTCCTTTCCATCCATCGATATTTGATCAGATAAACGGTCAACATATCAAGAAGGCAGCCATGAGAACGCACGGATCGCATGGACCATCTGGCCTCGAGGCGAATGAATGGAGACGTATTCTAACACACTTCGGGCAACAATCAGTTAAAATTTCAAAAACAATTGCTAAAATTGCCAAAAAATTGGCCACAGAAGAACTAAATCCAGAACTAATGGAACCATATAACGCATGCAGATTAATAACCTTAGATAAGAATCCAGGGGTAAGACCCATAGGCATAGGAGAAGTTATGTGTAGGATAATAGGGAGAACAATAACTAAATGCCTAAAAAACGAACTCATGTCGCTCGGTTCAAACTACCAACTCTGCCTAGGACAAAAATGTGGCATTGAATTTGCGATCCACACGCTAAGAGATCAATACAGCAAAACTTCCGGCGATGCTGTTTTACTGATAGATGCCGAAAACGCTTTCAACTCGCTGAACCGAAAGCTGGCATTAAAAAACATCGAAAATACCTGCCCTTCCCTTTTAACAGCGATTAAGAACTCCTACTCCAATCCATCTAAACTATTCGTTAACAAAAAAACAATCTACTCTCAAGAAGGGACAACCCAGGGGGATCCACTGGCAATGGCCATGTACGGTCTAGCCATAATACCCCTCATAAAACTTTTATCAGTAGACGATGTAACCCAGAAATGGTACGCAGACGACGGAAACGCAGTCGGTAAATTAGGCAATCTACGAACCGTCCACGATAAAATTGTATCACTGGGTAAATTTTTCGGCTACCACGTGAAAGCATCTAAATGCCAACTCATTGTCAAAGATGAAAAACTCGGTGAAGCTCAGAAAATCTTCGCAAATACAGGAATCACTATAAAGGCACGAGCCCGAGTGCTTGGTTCAGTTATAGGAACAGAATCTGAATGTAAAAATTTCCTCGAATTTCAACAGAATGAGCAAATCAAAATTTTGAAAAAACTAACGAAAATTGCTAAAACCTCCCCTCAAAACGTTTATGCCTGCTATACTAAAGGAGTTCAAGAAAAACTTCCATTTCTTGCCAGGACAACGCCTAACACTATGGAAAACTTAGAAATATGTGAAAATATTATCAAAGAACAATTATTACCTAACCTAGTCGGTAAAGACACTTTAAACCCCCAGTCCCGTGAGATATCTTCCTTACCCCTTAAAATGGGCGGACTTAACATCAAGCTGCAGTCCGATCATGAAAGCTACCTAGAATAGTCTAAGGAAATATCACTGGTACTGGAATCTCAAGATCCTATTACAGCAGTAACACAACAAGAAAAAATATGTACGAAAATCAAAAAATTGAAAACTGATAGAACAAATCGAAAAAAAAAAACAAACCTCATTAACTCCTTAAATGAAACAGATAAAAACGCAATCGACCTGGCCTCTGAAAAGGGAGCCTCTAACTGGCTCAATGCTCTACCACTGAGCAGATACAATTTCAAACTGAATAAATCAGAGTTCAGAGATGGTATTTACTTAAGATACGGATGGGAGCCAACCAAAACCCCACTCACATGTGCATGTGTTGCTGATTTCAACTTAACACATGCGCTTCACTGTGCAAAGGGTGGTTACACACACATAAGAAACAATGAAATCAGAGACACATTCGCCAACCTCATGAACGAGGTTTGCCATGACGTCGAGATTGAGCCGAAACTTCAGCCGTTGCAAGGCAAAAGCTTTGTCAACAATTCAACTTCAACTGAAGATGAGGCACGACTTGACATTAAGGCAAACGGACTCTGGGGTTCACGATTCAGCCGCGCTTTCTTTGATGTGAAAATTTTCAACCCCCATGCCAAAACATCGCGAAAACTGCATAAGGATGCATACAAATACCACGAAACGCTGAAGAACTCCAAATATCAGCAAAGAATTTTAAACGTAGAGCAGAGTAGCTTCTGCCCGCTAATTTTTGGATGCACCGGTGGCGCTGCTCCAACAGCCACGCGGACGATGCAGCGATTGGCCGAAAAACTAAGTGAAAAAAGACAAGAAAGCTATCCAGAATCTATAAACTACATAAGAACTAAAATAAGCTTCGCGCTCCTGAGGAGCTCTATACTTTGTATAAGGGGGTGCAGATCGCTACGCAAAGTTCAATTTATCGACAACTCCATAAGCGCTATTGTAGAGGAAGGACGGCTAAGATAAATTAACATTATGACGATGCATTTAATGCTGATTTATGACTTCATTGCTGATATATATGCATTTTTATATCGCTGGTATGGCCCTATCCAGCTTGTGCACTTACCGTAACTAAACGGAAGGGCCCCTTTTGTAATTTAGTTTTTTTTAAAAAAATATACCTTAAACGTGAAAAAAATCTTTTGTTAAACATGCAAAAATAATACGTTGAAAACGCTTATACATGGCGAGACTTAAGTGATTAAATGGCTAACAATAAGTGTCCATTCTAAACAGATACAAAAATGAGAATGGTTAGATAGTAAAGAAGCTTCGCAAAATCCTTGCCTGATAGATGCCTGTATGCAGCCAGAGATGTCCCAGTAAAGACCAGACAAATCAGCATCCCATAGATGAATCCCGCAATGTAAAATGCACCATCTGGTTTAAAGTTAGACCGACTGGTAACCAGGATGTCACTCTCCAAATTGAGATCTTCAAACAGAGGTTCAAATATTTCAGCAACGTCATCGTTGGAGCATGAGCTTGGCATGCATACTGCAGTCTGAATTTTGAACTGGTTTGAGAAAGCAATGCCGAGCAGAAACGGTTTCGTATTCGGAAAACTCTTAGCTTTCACTGGAAACAGTCCAGACTTGGCGTTCACGCATTCTTCAGGCTGACCGAGGAAGAGAAAATGGCCCTCCGCTATACCAGTCCACGGCACTGCGAATGAGTCCCAAAATTTGAAAGTATCTTGGAAAGAATTGCCCAATATGATGTCCAAACCATTACTACACTGAGCGCCAGTAGTATTTGGACTCTGAAATAAAGCTGAATGCAAATTTACCGGGAATAATTTGTTTATTACATACAGGCTGGTGTCATCGATAAGAGTTCTATTGTGAGCAGAAATATGCAGCGACGAAAAATGACTACAACTTGCACTCAAAACTGTCATAAGCGAAATATTCAGAAAAAAAGCTTGATTGAACATCTTGGTTATAAGATATAATAAACATAAACAGCAAATAATCACAAAGGTGTACAATTGTTTAATGAATAAATAAACACAGGCTGACTATGAAAGTCATGTCAAGTTGAATTTTGAACTCAAATATCGTGACTCTCCGCCAAGTACAAATTAATTTGAATAGAATAGAACAGGGTACAACTAATGGTTGACCAGATCCCTGAAAACCGGTCAGAGAAGATAAACAATTGAGGTCAGAGAAGATAAACAAAAATTCGGAAACAATTTTAAAAAATTGTTAACCGTTAAGCTCAGCCCCATCTGAACACAAACACACGAACACAAAAAAAACATTCGCTCATCAAACAATCCAATATAGGGCCACTGAGCCGATGTAAAATATGCCGAAACCTATTAAACCGAGATTCATATAAATTCATTTGTACCAAAATAAAAAATCGGTCCCATTTGTACCAAAATTACTCAACTCGATTTCTGATAAGTCGAAAGGACACTGAAATTGAAAACTTAATAATTGGAAAACTTCAATTATTTTGAGTTTATCATTGCCGCATATATGCACTTGTATTGTGAATTTGGTTAGTAATTTTGTTGACACTTACTATTTTTGAACTCAAATAGTAAGTGTCAACTGAATGCAAATGTACTCAATTGACACTTACAAGAGTCAATTGAGTAAATCAGTCTGTTCTCATAGTGGTAAATCAGTCTGTTCTCAAAGTCTGTTCTCATAGTGGTAGCCTATAATCCGGATGACAAGAGTAAATACCGATGGAGTCTCGAGCAGTGGAACAAATTGTTGGAATCTGTTGATCGTCTACGGAGTTCTTATGACAGCTTTTTCCTCATGGGAGACTTCAATCTCCCTGGGGTAGACTGGTGGAGCGTCTGGAACTCCGGAAAACATTACGAAGCAGCAGTGCTGGAACTACTAGACATACTCTCTTCCGCAACTTGTGAATTTTCCCACATCAGCTGCCAACTCGAACGTCTATGATCTATCTAGTGTTCACTGACTCAAGTCCATTGATTTCGAACCTGGTTGCAGATAGGAAGTTTTGGAATCTGTATTCCGTCGAAAATCGTCCGTGCTCCAATCACTTGCCGGTCTCATTTGAAATAATGGGAGAAGCTGTCAGCGGTGAGAACTCTCAAAAAAGACTCAGTTTTTCCAATGCCGACTATGAAGGCCTGAATAGGTCCATACTCAAAAATCCTTTTATCGGCAATTGCTGGTCCAAACCGAATGTTCCTTTATGTGAATGGTATAATTAGTAGCAAAATGTTCGGACAGACAGAATTAATTAAAATGAGCAATCAGTGCTTTTCGAAGCTTTTTTGCATGCAAAATCTGAAGCCGAACAACCTTGAATTTTTCGTCTGGCCGAACTCAAAATGCGAGATCGTCGGATATCCAATGATTATGCTAGCCTAATATTTAAATACTGCGATGAACATCCAGATTTTACTATAAAACATCTCGACGCTTCGGATGCAATTGCCCGCCGTGGTTATAGATTTTGAGCGAAACTCGGATCTACTTAACAATCTCACCCACCCCCCTCCCTTCCCCTATTGTATTTACTAAATAATATCCACCCCTGTAAATAAAAACAATAAATTCGCACTAGAGCATTGTATGTAAATTCGAATTTTGCTGCTTTCTGATTGGTCGAAAGTTCGATGCCAGTAATCTAATTAACAATCTCCTTCCTTTTCTTGAAAGTGGGGATTGTTAAGTAGATACCGTAACTCTGCTTTATGAACTTTCGATGTTATGTTTATTTCAGTTTTAATTTCAGTTGATGTCTAGACAGTTGCTCTTTTTAATTATTTCTGTCTGTCCGAACTTTTTGCAACTCTCTATACGATTGGCTCTTCAAACTCATTCAGGAGCACGTACCAGTAAAAACTAAACACAGACTAAACGTGCCGCCCTGGACCACATCTGCCACATCGCATAAAATGAAGAAGCTGAAGACCATGAAAAAGAGACAACTCCGGAACAACAATGTGCCAGATAAAATATCAAACTTAGAACAAGATATTCATGATTCTCTTGTGGAAGACCAAGCTGAATATGAAACCTTGTTAGCTGATACAAGATCAACTTCCCGTTTGTTCAAGTATTTCAGTAGTCTGAGGAAAGCAAATCCTCTGCCTAAAACGATTCGACATGGGGACTGCATTGCGGAAACTCCTGGAAAACAGTCATTTTTTTTCAGTGTGTACACACTAGACGATTCCCACAATACTACTTGTGTTATAGAAAACTCCGACCGAGTATGCGACTTTGACACATCAGGAGCTTCTGTAGTAAAAATCCTGGGGCGTATTAACGTTACTAAGTCAAGAGGTCCTGATGATATTCCTCCGGCTTTTTATCGCAATGTACCTAACTTAAATTCGTTTAAAATCGCAATGTACAAATTAAATTTCTAGCGATCAGTCGGTTCATTTTAATGTCTTATTTTTAATTTCGCTTTTAATCGCCAACATGTTTGACCTCGAAACTTTCCGAAATCTGAACGACGAATTGAAATACGAGCTGTATAAAGACTTAGTCGAAAATGTTACTTATTTTAAACGAATTATCGAAAACTTAACTGTATCAACGAAAGAGGAAGAAAGAGGAAACAAATTTTTTGATCTAGAAAATTTTAAAAACACGGGCAATTCGAAAATTACAGAAAACAAATTTGAAAACGAATGGAGCAAGATTGGAACTCGGAGCAGAAATCAGAACAAACGAAGCGAAAATAACCAAGAAAGCAAGAATAACCAAGAAATCAAAATACAAGCAACCAATATTCAAGAAGAAAAATTCGACCAGCAACGAAAACATTTATTTTTACCACGAGAAGGAGAATATTCTGGCCTATTACTGGGAGACTCAATTGTTAACAGAATCAATGGGGAACAAATATCGGAAAATGTGTTGGCGAGAGGATTTGGTGGGCACAAAATTTCTGCATTGCTGGAACGCGTGAGAAACAGTAAATCGCGACATTTTAAACATGTAACTACGCTAATTGGAATAAATGACTGCCTCTCAAGTGATTTCGACGCGAAGGAAGCCGTGAGTAGCTTAGAAAAACTAATTTATCTCATAAATCATAAATTCTCCCCAGAAACAATTTCACTATGTACTGTAACTCCCTTAGGCGCTTTTAGAAAAGATTTTAATCCAAATGTACAGAAGCTAAACAAGCAAATTCTTAATTTAGTACGGAATGTAAAAGACTTGGGCGAAGTAAAATTGGATATTTTAGACATAAACAAAATTTTTAGTCAAAATACAGATGCTCTTAGCTCGGATGGTTTGCATCCTTCTGATGGGGGTGTTGAAATTTTGGTGCAAAGTTTTAGAGATTCTTTTAGGGGTTCTGATATTAATGCAAACACATGTGAGATTACAACCCGCCCCAGAATGAAGCAAACCCAACAATCATCAAATTTAGATCCAAAAACGGCAGAAATGTTACAATTTTTCCAAAACGGTGCAAAATTTTTTAGGAAATACTAGTTTCGCATTTTTTCTTGGTGCAAACTTTGGCGATTATTTAATTTATTTAACCTATTATGCTGAATATTAAATTCTGGTTGTTTTGTGCAATTTTTCTAATTTCCAAGGCTCAGATGGAAACTAAAGAAAAAACTATTGTTTACTGGGGCTATCTAAGCTGCCAGCAAAAGATATTATCAACGAAATGTGGGATAAATGAGCGGAGAGCTACCACACTGACTCATCTTTTCCTTTTCGCGTTGTTACTGACCCAAAGTGGGGATGTTGAAAAAAACCCTGGTCCTATCGAAACCATTGAAACAGTCTACGGTATCTGCTCAAAAAATTGTGCAAATCTTAAATTTGTTCATTTGAATTTTCAAAGTATTATTAGAAAACGGATGCAATTGAAAAAATTTCTTGATGATATGGGCGAAAACACAATTATAGGAATTTCCGAAACGTGGCTTAAAAAAGAAGATAGTGACAATTTATGGAATTTCCAACCTAGAACGCATGCGATGTTCAGATATGATAGGCAATCAGCGGTAAAAAAGAAAGGCGGTGGCGTTTTGTTATATATACCAGTCAAATTGGCTCCGAAATTGAGGCCTGATCTAAATTTATTTGATAAAGAAAAATATGAGTCAGTGTGGGTTGAGTGCAAATCTACATTTAACATTTCGAGTAAAGAAAAAATGTTAGTTAATTTGTGTTATAACCCAAGCAGATCAAACTTTATTGATTTTTTGGAACAATTAACGCTTAACATAGATAATGCTTTTTCAGTTTCTAATAAAATTACGCTTTTGGGTGATTATAACATAAATTATCTGGATAGCAAAGAAAAAGAAAATTTAGATTCTATAATTATTCCATATGGATTGAAGGTTTTTTGTCCAAACGATGAGACCAGAATTAGTTCCTCAACAAAAACTCATATCGACTACATAATCAGTGACTATGAAACAAACGGCATTGAGTTTTGTTTTGATACACCTTATAAAACCGACCATTTTGCTTCATTTATTTTGACGGATATAAAATGCGGCAAAATTTTACCGAGGATAATTACGACTTTCAATAAGAAAAATTATCAGAAAAATGAATTTTGCAATTCACTCTCCGCTCTTCCTTGGTATCTCTTATATCAATGTACAGACGCACAAAACATGTTCTCGACGATGATTTATTTAATTTCTTGTGCTCTACAGCAACATGCTCCTATCGAAAAAAAGTTTGTTCGTAATTTTAAACCAAAAAACGTGTTGAAAACGGAATGGTTCGATTCAGAATGTCAGCAATTGTTGACTAAGAAACAGAATTCACTCAGATCATATCGCAGTCAAAGCACAAGCGATAATTGGTCAAAGTACCAGTTTTTACGTAATCAAATGAGCAAATTGATTAGAAGTAAACAATTCGATCATTCAAAAAATTGTTTTTCACTTCTCAGCACTATCCAACAAAAATGGAAATATATTAACCAAGTTAGAGGTACATGTTCTGGCAACCATCGAATTACAGTTCTACGAAATTCCTTCAGTGAAATGATAACCCAAGACAAAAAAATTGCCAATCATTTAAATTATATTTTTTCAAACTTAGGCGAATTTTTCGGCGCTAAAAAGCCTCCGAATTACAACAAATCTGCCTCTGAATCTGCATCTTTTCATTTTCAACACATTACAGTGAAGCAATGCTTTGATATAGTTCGAAAAATCAATGTTGGAAAACCTCTCGGACCTTGTACCGTACCTGCTTGGGCAATCATTGACGGTCAATCAGTTATAGTTCCACATTTAACTTTTGTCATAAATACTTGCTTAGATGAGAACATTTTCCCGATCGAACTGAAAAAAGCAAACGTAACCCCTTTGTTCAAAAAAGATGACCCAATGGATGCAAAAAATTATCGGCCAATATCAATA